AATCCCAAACAGCATGAAGGAATATCGGCAAAATATTACGTGATTTTTTTTTTTGTTTCCTGATCCGATGATCTCTATTTTTTCTTCAACAAACGAATTGTGTGGCCCTGAGAAGGGCCGATTTCTAGTTTTGACGTTATTTTCTTATTATTATTATTATTTAGGCTTTCTTCTCTGTCTTTTTCGCAATAGGACAGCCTGAATATTCGGAGAACTCCGCCTTGGGCGATAGTTACGCCGGAAAGTAACTTGTTTAATTCTTCATCATTCCTGATTGCTAACTGCAGATGACGTGGAATGATCCTGGTTTTTTTATTGTCGCGAGCAGCGTTGCCGGCCAACTCTAACACTTCGGCTGCCAAGTACTCCATAACGGCGGCAAGGTACACAGGAGCTCCGGCACCGACGCGTCGGCATAGTTCCTTTACGCAATAATCTGTGTATACGACCTACAGGGAATTGCAAAACCGGCCCTACTAACCTGGATTTGCCTTTCCTTTCACTTTTCCGCCTTTTCCTGCCGGACTGTTTATTTGTTTTATTTTCTTTTTGACTTGCGAATCGACGACTACAATTGCTGTCGTTGGACCGAATTAATAGAATAGAATGGCAATGTCTTTAGGTACGAGTATATTATAAACTACTCCGACAATCACCGTTTTCGTTTGTCGGTCACCCGTAAGGGCGGAGTCTATGTCGGTAACGTCGTGGCTGTTAAAGCTCGCCGTTTATCCGCCACACCTTTCCATTATAGATAACGATATTGTGTCAGTAAAGATCGTATTTTGTGTAAATCGAAACGCGATGCCACCCAAAACTAGCGGTAAAGCAGCTAAAAAGGCCGGTAAGGCTCAAAAAAATATTTCCAAGTCTGATAAGAAAAAGAAACGCAGGAGGAGACGGAAAGCTACGCATTTACATCTACAAAGTGCTGAAGCAGGTATCCAGATACCGGTATTTCCAGCAAAGCGATGAGCATCATGAACAGCTTCGTCAACGATATTTTCGAAGTATCGCAGGGAAGCATCCCGATTGGCACATTACAACAAAACGTGCCACGATAACTAGCAGAGAAATTCAAACAGCCGTTCGACTATTGCTACCAGGAGAATTGGCCAAGCACGCCGTCAGCGAAGGTACCAAAGCCGTAACCAAGTACACCAGTTTCGAAGTAATATGTAACCGACGACAACAACAACATCAACAACAACTTACAACCATAAAAACGGTTCTTTTCGAACCACTAAAGTTATCAAGTAAAGATAATGATATCACCGTACGCGCAACATATCTATTATTGGTACTTGAATACCAGATGATTATTCGTGATTATACATACACCACTAAAGCAATAACGTCTGTATAAGACCCGACCGGATTATTTAATGGTAAACGAAAGCGTAAAAAAAGGGATATCCTTACGACGCAATCGACTGTTTAACGTTCATTCGTTTAATTAAACACAATACATACTGTATTATACCTTAAAAGCAAATATCGATGGTGACGACGCCTAACATTACCACTTGCTTATAAATACCTAATCGTAAACGAATAATACTCGAATTTAATAAAAAAAAAAAAAAAAAAAAAAACATCAACGCACGTACGAGCCGCAGTTGTACATGTATATTTCGATACAAAATTGCTAATTCGTAAATATTCTGTATCCTTTTTATAGTAATAGTGGTGGCCCTGAAAAGGGCCATTTTCAATCCGCGGGGACGTATAGCATCCTCTCGCATAAATATAACGTCTCGAACCGACGTAGCCGTAATCTACGAGTTGCAACACGTAAATTTTTTTTTTTATTTCTTCTTTTGGGTGAAGCGGCCTTCCTTTTGGCGATGTTGCAGCCTTCGCCGTTTTCGGTTTTGGTGCTTTTGGCTTCTTGGTCGGAGCTCCCTTGCTGGATTTCTTCGCCTTCGAGGAGATTTTTTTGCAGCCGCTGCAGAAGGTGCAGCAGAAGAAGCTTTAGCCGACGTCGCCGATTTCCCACTTTTCTTGTCTAGCTGGAGAAGCTTTCTTCTCGGCCGCACCACCGGCACCGCCGGTTTCTTAGCCTTCGGAGATGCCTTCTTCGCAGATTTCGCACCGCTAGCTCTCTTAGCTACGGTTCCGCTCTTCTTTGAGCCGGTCGCGGATTTCTTCTCGTTTCGCCAACCTTTGCGGCTGACGATGAAGTTTCGACGCTCCGCCAGCCGATGACGAAGCTAGCTTGAACGATCCGGAAGCTCCTTTGCCTTTCGTCTGTACTAAAGCTCCAGACGCGACGGACGATTTTAAGTACTTGATGAAAGGCGCAACTTTCTCAGCGTCTACTTGTAATTAGCGGCTATGTATTTCTTGATAGCTTGCAGAGACGCCCGCACGCTCTTTTAATCCTTTAATTGCGTTGATGACCATTTCGCTAGTAGGAGGATGAGACGGCTTCGCCTCGGATTCTTCGGTTTTTTCTCCTTTTTCGCAGACGACTGCGACGTCGGCGACGCAGAATTCGCGGTAGCCGTAGCCGACGCGGCGTAATTCTGGTTTTCCGTATCTGCCATGTTTACGAGTCGTGAAGAGGAGACAGATTATTGTATACGCGCGATCTTTTGCAAGCACTGATCGACGATCTCGCTAAGAGAACGAATGTCGAATGATGTGAGAGGTAAATTCAGCGTCGTGACCCAAGTCATTTCGGTCGGACCGAACATTGAACGCTCCGACTTTGCAGCGAAACCGATTTCGACGGCTTCAATTCTGCAAGCCTGCGGTCGTATCTGTTGGTTTTTGAGTCGCTGATATAATTGCATACGAGCAACAGCTAAAACCTGAACGAATATGAAATCTGCATAATTTGAAATACACTTTAACTTCGCGACTTGATCACGTACGCTACGTACCGATAAAATTATAAGGTGAAACGTGCAAGGTATCCGCTTTGGACCTAATCGTCCGGCTTTTTGATCTAATTTATATTATACGAATACGTTATATAATTAGATATTTCATGAAATTAACAATCTACGACTATTCGTAATACAATTATACTGTCGGTATACGGCTAATGGATAAGGTATTTTAGATAATCGCAATTATACGGAGGTATGTCTGGCGTACATCCGAACGTGCACAGTCGCGAAATATATCGCGATAATTTTTAACATTACTCCTGTAATATGACAAAATAGATAATAATATGAGACATCAATCTATTATTCGTAATAAATAAGCCAGAGTAGAAAAATATTATATATAATATACGAGCGATCGAGTTATAATTCATCTCTTACTACATATTAATTATTAGACGTACGCATTACTGACTTTGATCTACGTGAAAGTACCTAATGTTACGTATTACACGCTAACAGCCTGCCTAAACGCCTAAGCAATATATACGGCAAAATATCTATATTATGTCGAATTATCTACATTATAATCACATGCTACTTATAAGTTTTTTTACTTCCATACACATACATACAATTCGTACGTTATTAGAATAATCTCAATGTAACGGTTTACTACAAGCACCACAATCCTTCGATATAGGATAACGGGTATAACTAGCGACTATCGTATAACCATTTAGCGCTATTTTGCATACACGATAATAGTGTCGAAATTGCACGCGTACAAACAACATCTGATATACTTAACATAATACACGATCCCCTTTTTCTGAACATACTATATGTGGTTCTGAAAAGAACCGTTTTTTTTTTTATAACCTATTATCGCCACGCCGTACTCTCTCTCTCTCTCTCTCTCTCTTTCCGGCAAATAGTAAATCCGTCAATTCCATTAGGCACGTTCGCCCCTAATACGTCTTGCCAGCTGTATATCTTTCGGCATGATCGTTACTCGCTTAGCGTGGATCGCGCACAAGTTTCGTATCCTCGATAGTCCGACAGGTACGCTTCGCTAGCTTCTTGGAGTGCCTTACAGCAGAACTTTGGAATCGCAAATCGGTCTTGAAATCTTGCGCTATTTCACGGACCAGCCGTTGGAAAGGCAATTTTCTGATCAACATTCGGTACTTTTCTGATAACGACGAATTTCTCTGAGAGCCACAGTTCCCGGACGATAACGGTGAGGTTCTTAACTCCGCCAGTAGCAGGAGCACTTTTACGGGCAGCCTTCGTGGAATTGCTTCCTGGGAGTTACCTCCGGTGGATTTACGAGCCGTCTGCTTGGTACGCGCCATTACGTTAAATTTCAGATAACTGAATATAAATTATCTATATAGCAGCGACGTGAATATTGCAACGGACAATATTATAGTGAGCGGAGGTAAACACCGCGAACAGTTTATTTATATGGGCTCGAAATACGAAACAGTCTGATTGGCCAATTGATAGACCAATAGGAGGGACGACAACGCTAACAAAACCGGGCGTCACGAGAGACGTACCGTCAGTTGGCAACAGCCCGTTCGCTTTAACAGTTCGACGTGCGAGAGAATCTTGAAAAATGACTGGACGCGGTAAAGGTGGTAAAGGATTGGGAAAAGGAGGAGCGAAAAGGCATCGTAAAGTTTTGAGGGATAACATCCAGGGAATTACGAAACCGGCCATAAAGATTGGCGCGACGTGGAGGAGTAAAACGTATATCCGGATTGATTTACGAAGAAACTCGAGGAGTGCTCAAAGTCTTTTTAGAGAACGTAATCAGGGATGCAGTCACTTACACCGAGCACGCTAAAAGGAAGACAGTCACTGCAAGGACGTCGTATATGCATTAAGAGACAAGGACGCACTTTGTACGGATTCGGTGGTTAAACACTCCGCAGCAATTACCACGGTACAGGTTGAACGAAAATACAATACAAAGAAAAAAAAACGGTTCTTTTCAGAACCACCATATACTCTCGTGAGAAAGAATGGATCTGCCGATTGAACCGCCACATTAATTTTCTATTTTTTTTATACAAAATAAAAAGAAACACTCACATAAATGAGTTTATCGGAATATGAGAAATGATCGACTTATACGTTTTGGCTCTTTGAATTACAATAATCGACGATTTCGGTCCCGATATGTCCCATTATCGAGATACCGGCGAATATTAGACGTGAATGCGACGATGAGATGCCTCGATTAAATAATTTAGTTATTGCCAACTTCGCGCCACAAACCGATCCGATATCACCCTGAGAAAATTTTTCCATATACAAATGATAATCCCTTCATTTCTTATTAAATTACTTGTTGGCCCTGAGAAGGCCGATTGTATGTTCAGAAGATTTTTTTTTTTAGGCTTTCTTCTCCGTCTTTTTCGGCAAAAGAACAGCTTGGATATAGGGAGAACTCCTCCTGGGCAATTGTGACGCCTGAAAGCAATTTGTTCAATCTTCGTCGTTTCTGATGGCCAATTGCAGATGACGTGGAATAATACGGGTCTTTTTATTGTCGCGAGCAGCGTTGCCTGCCAATTCCAAAACTTCAGCGGCCAAGTATTCCATAACGGCCGCTAGATAACGGGAGCTCCGGCACGACGCGTTCAGCATAATTCCCTTTCGCAATAACCTGTGGATACGACCGACGGGAAATTGTAGGCCGGCCCTGCTGGATCGGGACTTTGCCTTTCCCTTAACTTTACCGCCTTTTCCGCGTCCTGACATATTCAATTTGTTAATCTGCTAAACGAACGACGTCGACTATGAACTTGCAAATGCACAACATGACACACACACACACCCTCCTACCCTGTGCGGTCCCTCCACCACCCTGTTCCAGGCAACCTCAAACCCTTGAGGAGTGGGGGGAAGAGCAAGCACAACATGATCTCCGCGAACGTTGTATTTATATGAACTAACCGACCAATCG